ACTGTATCCGGGCTACAGTCTGCTGGAGCGTGTGCAGAATCCACGGATAAGCATCGTTCATTTGATTTCTGCTTTTTGACCTTCTTTGAGCCTCTGAGTCTCACTGCGCCTAATCGGCTATCTATCAGGATCGAATCCAAAAGGCATTATCAACGCCTGCTTAACCAGATACTGAAGCGATAGGGGTACCGGAGTTGAAACCATTTTTTAGGGTCGGAGGAAGACGTTGATCGGATCACTGAGCTCGGATTCTGGATGTGTTTCCGAGAGACAACACACATCAATCTCTAGACTTTCGAGCGTACGAGATAAACCTGCTTATTGTTCTATACGCATTAGAGTTCTTACGTTGAATGAAGCCAGTTTGAACGCAGAGTGAGGTCGGAGGAAAGGAACGGTCGGCTTCGAAACAGATGTCAAGCAGGATAGCGGCGAGCTACAACATGAATCTATGTCAGTGGAACCGTTCGGGGTTGGACAAACAATGGAAAAAATGAGTGTTGTGTGTGGGGCCGGTGGAAGTGTTGTGTGCAGATTGTAAAAGAAAGCTTTGCAGAGGTGTACTATTCTGTGACATGCGTGTATGTATGTCCATAAGTCCATGGTTAGTTTGTGGGTGTGGTACTACCCGATTACCCAGGCCGAGGTAGAGGGTTTTCTTGGGGGACCGTACGCGGAGCCCTTGGTTAAATAACCTGACCCACAAGGCATTGGGGTGGAGTAGGGAGTCCACGATCCCATGGGAGCCTGTGACTGGGGGATGGGGGGCAGTTCATACACCTTTCGGATGCGGCCAACTATACAGGGTACCCAGATTGCCCTTGAGCCGCGTACTTACCGGTCAACATCACGGTGGTCAACTACAAAGATTAACTTTGGAGACCGGTTCGGTTGCGCCGAAGATTGGTACCACTATGAGGTTCTTACGCCAAGTGTGAGTGGTTTGAAATCAGGGTTTNNNNCACGCGGTGGAAAGCACTGGGCATTGGCCTTTGCCCTCCCACTTTTGTGTTAACACCTCCGCCACGAGAAGGCAGTGGATAGGAATTCCTCGAGAGAAGCTATTTGAGGTGCTGGGTCCTTTCGGGAGTATTTCTAGAGGAGAGTTCGGGACGAATGGCCACCACGGTGGAAGGGTGACCAATACACATCATATCCAATCACGTAGGCGATCAGTCACAACCACGAAGGAATATGTGTTTTGTGCGCCTATTCTTGTTTCGTTTAGAATCAGGGTTTTTAGCCAACACCCCTAGGTGAACTACCAGGGGTTCAATGACCCGGTTATAGTTCAGGATGTCATCCTCTCATTTTGGTGGNCCACCACGAGAAGACTGTGAGTAGGGCTTCCTCAGCGGAGGAGACTATTTCAGACGCTTGATCGTAAGGGAGCATTCCATGAGGTGCAACGGGGTGGGGGTGACTAGCCAAAACTCGAGGCGTCCATTTCACACAATAAATCAGTTTGCTGATCCTCACTTGGAGCAAACAATTTTGTCGATCAACTTCGCACATCGTGCGTAACCGATAAATAGTAGCTTTGATTAAAAACTGAGTTTCTCTTTGTCAGCCACGCCCACTGTAAAATCAATCTAGAGAAGGTCTATTCTCTTTGAATGTGGTGGAGATTGTCGTGATATCCAACAATGAGTACCGGACAGCTGCTTCGTCTTGTTTGGAACTCGTCAGAAGTGCGTACTTTTTGGGTCCCTGTCAGGACTCAAACCACGATTCTTCGGGCTGGGACTTCAAACCCTTATCCTTGAGCTACACGGTTATCACCTTGTGCGAGTGGCCCAATCAATTTAGATGGGTTTTCACAGGCACCGGGCACTGTTGATGATGTTTTTTGAAGTCTCAGCCCGAATAATCACGGTTCCAGTCCTGACAGGGACACAGAAAGTGCGCACTGCTGACGAGTCTCAAACAGCTGTCAAGTGCACTTTGTTGGTTATGATAAAAACATTTCCATCGTAATAAAAATGCATACAAACAGTGGGAAATTACCGATCTCCCAAGGAGTGGAACCCACATCCAACATTCCATTTACAAAACTTAATAGGCTAATCCAAACATTAACCATCTACGTTCTATTCTTGTCCATTTTTCTCAACGAGAAAAATTTCAACTCAATGGCATTCAGAATGTGGCTACTAATGATGTAAGACACCACTCACATATACGTAACATGTTTAGAGTGCGCAAACGGATGTGTGGCTGGCGCTCTCACAACGATCCAAGATGGATAAGACCTCCTCGAGCGAATTGGTGAGTTCAAAATGATAACTGCAGAAAATGCACATCTACAGTTTGTACTGTTCCATCAATTATTATGCGGCGTGCTTTTGTTGTTGTCAGTACAATTGGTCTGGACCAGATGAGGCGCTTCCCGTCTGTGTCATCAATCTGGTAATGTCTTCCGGAAAGATGAACCGCCTGAAAGTTCAACAAATCCTAACCACTGAAGGGGCGGAAGACAAGCTATTTCTGGCGACCACACGCGATCGGTGTCCGACTAATATCTATTATGGTCCGTACCGCGCGGATATATGGTTCCGTTGGCACCAACGTATGGGAAGTACAATTCTGGAAACGTGGGAAATTGNATTTGACTACTATGGACTAATTAGTATCTTGTGCATACATTCCCCCCCCCCTAAAGTAGCTAATGCCTGTGTTGTGTCGGTTTGTTAATACCGGAAAAATCAGAGCTAAACACATTCCTTGGATCGGAGAGAGAGCACAACAGGTTGCACGATTTATGCGAAAGCAGATTGCACTACATCTCGTTTGGTAAAATACGACGGAAAATAAGTTTATCATTGGGCAATAAGTCGGCTGGACACAAATCGGACAAGGTCGATGGACAGCACTTTTTGCCCAGTGATACTAAGACTGACGGTTCCTCTGTCCACGTTTTCTTCGGATAGTAACCGACTCCGCAAACATGTGAACCCGGGGATGTTAGTGCATGTAAACCGAAATCGATTGGTCGGGTCCGAATCATGATTCGCCACCAACAGATGCCGAGCGATGGACGGCGCGGTTTGTTATTGTGTTCAGTGTCCTAGTGTAAGAGTGGAGGAGGGTGTTGCATGTGGGCTTGAGGGGTCGAACAAAAAAAAACAAGCTTTAATCATGTGACTCGGCGTCCAAACCAAAATGGTATGTTCCTTGATACGTTTATACAACTGTCTATCTTTCCCGTCATTGTAAGATGCTCTGCATTCAAATTCTCATAGCCATATTACGTGTGGTTTCGTGGACAGCGGTCGCCTTTTGGGCGGAGTGAAGATACGAGCAGGTGTGTACAGGACGATTAGATCGACAATACTGTGAGTTTGATAGGCCGCCATCTTTGGGTGGTCTTGGGAAAACCAGACTGATTTCGCCAGCCGTGTTTCTGTTTGTCACTAGAATGGTTATAGATGCGAGGCGACTGTCTTGTTCCTCTGCCAAAGATAAACCTATTTTCTTGTGCAAAGTGCTTATCGTCTGAAGAGAAGTAGTTACTCGTTGATCTTTGCCTATGAGTATATCATTAATGCACCTTTTAAGCTGATCTAAGGTATGTGCCGCCTCAGTTTCCACTGTGCGGACGAAAAGGTTGGCGACGATGGACCCTAAGAGGTTTCTCATTGCCAGACCATCTATTAGTTGAGAGGTTTTTCCCTGGAAACTGAAGTTGATGTGTGTTACAGGAGGGGACCCTCCTGCTCTGATATCCGTAGACTAACTTCTAGATAAAGCTACCCAATATACTATGGAGTATTTTCCACTGTTGCACGTGGGGACTCATTATTGATCTGTTATCTCATATCTACAGGAGCAAGAAATTTGTCTTTCACGTTCAAATTGTCTATCAGGTTGGAAATAGCGTTAACATTATATTTAGGTACACGATCCCCGAACTGGATGCAACAGTTATGGAGAACTGATCATCAACAAGATAGTTATGAGTGAAATCACTAACTTATGTGTCTTGGAGAGATCATACAATCAATGCAATATGCTGTCAGTCAGAACAGCAGATGATATGCATCTATACATATATGTATGTATGACAGAGCAAGTGAATAGCACTAGTGGGATCCTGTTAATCACTGCCCAGTTTAGATCAGATACTTTCGACGACATGAACGAGGCAGAGCTACAGCAAGTAGGTTTGACGCCTGAAGAAAGGTGCTCAGAGCCAGCTCGGAAAGTCCATGTGGTTGGCTCATCAGATCCGCAACCTGTCATGTTCAAGTTCAAATCTAAGCCGATTGGGTGTACAGATAATTTCCCTGAACGAGAAAACGGCTTTTAGTTTTAGTGACAAGTACCGGATCAACTGCTCTGCTTGACGATCATTTGGATGCAATGAAACAGAGTACGGTTAATATTACCCACTACTCCGAATTCCGTTCAACGCAGAACGCTCAACGTTGTGTTGCGAGCTGTGCACGCCAGTAACAGCACTAAAGCACACTGGTCACCGGCGAGGGCGCGATTCTGTCATGACAGAGAATATATTCGAGAAAAGCTATCCGGAACGGGGGCTAATAAAATTGGGCACATTAGCTGTTTTGAAGAACCTCATACGGATTTGCCGTGATCGATCGAGAATACCACACCATACCAGCTCAATTCCCAAATGGGGGTTGATGAGAAAGAACAAGCAAAATCATTCCACGATAAACGTAACAACAATGACAACAACAACAAAAAACATTCTTGGGAAAATAAACACCTCCACGCTTGTCAAAAGTCTGATCGTTATCGTGGGTCACTTTCTCACAGGCGAGTTCAACAAAAAAAACCGGGAATTAGAGAGAGAGAGAAGCATGTCTATTCAGTTTGTGCAACTGAATGTGAGCAAGGCAACCAAATTATGACAGTCGAGAAAGAGAACAACACAATCTGTTGGTTGAAACACACACACACAAACATGTGTGTGTGTGATCTAGACCAGATTCAGTCCGGGCATTTCATATCACATCGGGCTGTCTGTCTACCAATCAGGCATTGATTTCTCCGGCATATTTGAGACGTAAAAAGCTCTGCTGTGCCCGTTTCTCCAACTGGTTCAACTCCTTCACCGAGGATGCAAGCACATCGACATGGCTTTTGTAGGTTGGTGCAACTGTGAAACAAATGAGAAATGAGAGGATTTGGGGGGGGGGCATAGAAATGAGAGAGCTGAAAAGCGCGGGCAATTGGAGATCAGCGCATCACACACAAAGATGTGCACGACTGATTTGGATGGGATACATGTAGCCAGTGGATAGTGAACACACTCAATCATTTACTAAACAGAACGAGAATGAGACTTGGCAATTCCGGATTTACGTGTAAACAATATAGGTGGTCAACTGGAGCAAAGATTAACCATACCCGTCTGTGCGACAGTTTTCGTTGCTGTCTTTTTCGTCTACCCGTTTGGGCAGGGTGCACACAAAGAACTCATAAAAAGCCTAAGGTCATAATGGAAATGGAGTACCACTAAAAAAGAAATGAGATGCACAAGTCGCCCGCGAGATGGGCTTCATGATTTCACGTTTCCCAATGGTGATTCTTACAACGGAACAACAGACCTTTTATGACAAAACCAATAGCGAACGAGCACATTATGCATAGAAAACCCACGGATCCGCTGGGCTCTCTGGCTTGGTAGATCTGACGCGATTCAGACATTTTCAAGGCGGTCATTTGGGAATAGAGAAGTAGTCCGTAAACGGGAACACTACACCGAAACAACAGGGTGCTTTTTAAACATCAAAGTCTCTATCTTTGTGTGTGTGTCAAATGGCAACCGGTGCAAAAAAACCCACCACGGGAGTGAGAAACACGAGAAATAGAATACGAACGTCAGAGAGAAAAACGGGATAAAAAATTAATCCAGATAGCATGAGGATACGAGGATAGATACATACAGCCACACACACACACACAGCCAAGGCAATCTCTACGATCGATAAGCTCTACTGAACACTGTTTACAGAAAATGTCAGAGCCAATGATGGAGAGGATCGAAGGAGCAAAGATTTATACATTCGAGACACACGTGACCGCAAGGCAGAACGAGTGCAATGGAGAACAAAGCGTTCGCGAGGAAACACGTTCTCTTGGGAGAACCAAAACCACGATCTCGATCTGATCACATTCGATTTCGTGTTGTCAACTTCTTCCCTATAAATGTTTCTCTCCTCAATGAATCTCTCAGACAGGCCTCCTGATGGTTTTAATCATCTCCTTCTTCTCCATTCACATGTGTCCCCCTATTCAGTCCAGCAATCAATACCAATCATAACTACTGCTACCGTGTTCAAAGCCTGTGTGTCCAACGGAAGGATCAACTTTCCTTACTAAAATCGATACGATAAAAAAAACGTGCGTACAGGTCTCACAATGCTTCATTGTCATCTATTTGTCCAGGCTTATCAAAGCTGAGGTGAATAGATTAAACGCATTATTCTCCGATTGAATTCTAAAGACTGGAAACAGCTAATACTTGTGGCAAGGTATCAGACTTTTCTGTCGAAGGAAGAAAGTACGGTTGAAGCTGGATGTGGATGTTGATGATTTCAACGCTGCATTCCTGCGTCAGTCATCGGACATTCGTCCTGCCTTCTCATTGCATAATGTTTGTAACGTGGAACCATTTTCATATTGTGATGTGTTAAAACTTTAAAAAAGTTGCAATTCGTCTTCTGCTGCAGGCCCGGTTGGTTTACATCAAGCCCTTTTTCTAATTTCGTGCTGCTTCCTTAGTTGGGGCACTCATCTCCATTGTAAATCAAACTCTTTACACTTCTATTATCCCTGACTGTCGGAGACCGGTCAAAAACATACCAATTCCCAAAGCATCCAAATCTATCCAAACGTTTTCGTCCCATTGCGTTAACATCTCCAGCTCTTAAGTTGACTGAAGAGGGCTATCCTCAAACTCCTTCAGTAGCAGTCTATCAACATTGCCAATGATACTTTACAGTTTGTTTATAAGCCTAGTGGATCCACCTTGGACGTAGTCCCCACCCTCATTCATTTTATCACTGTCTTTAAACAACTCTGTTAAATCTGATCGGTGTTTTTCTTGAATAGTCTTCTGCATCTGATTCCATTCCTCAGTGTAATTGGTTACAAAACAGATCGTTCAAATGCCCCAAGCAATTGTTAACTAGATTTTCCAACTAATTTATTGCTAGAGTACAAACCACCAAATTGAGGAGGGCTTTATTGAAGCCAACAACTCCGAAATTCTTCAAGGAGATCTAAGCACCTTCACCGACAACCATGATCAAATTCAGACATTCTCTTCATCATCGGGGTCAAGCTTAAACCCTAGTAAATGTGTTCAGTGTTTATATAGTTTTGCTCACTCTCCATATACAACAGACAATCCTTTATCTAAGGAATGGATTCTCATTATCACAGATCCAATCATGTTTGACAGATCAGATAAAACAAAGTCTCACTAGGTTAGCTGATTGGGTTCCTGTGACCATTCCCTCTCACACGTAGAGCGATTAGTACAGTGAAGAAACACAAAAAGCAATTCATCTGTCAAAACCACCGCAAGATGAATGTAAGAATGAGGTAACTGCAGTTTCGCCCAGGTGGGGAAGAAGTCTTCGCACCTCACTGGACACCTGCATCCATGTTCCGTCTGACTTATGCTGCCAATGAGGTTAAGGATTAGTCCCGAACGGCAGACCGACTATCAACGCACCAGCGAACAATACACTCGACCAAAATCAGGAGGCCTTGCGTGATAGGCCTCTAGAAGCTCCCACATGAGTGCCGCATTTACGTCCCACTGCCTAGTCGGTTCACCTTATGAGTCGAAGATTCTAGCCAGGGTTCCCGAAGAAACAACCGTTCGACGGTGTGGGCTACAGTTGAGTATGTCGTGCCAAAAAGTCATTTGAAAAGCCTTCTTCCAAATCGTCCAAGATGCTTTCAGTTTCTGGTACTCAGGACATGTCCTTCGGAGTTTATCCAGTGAGATAAACCAATCAGAAGACAATGGATTGGTGAAATCCCAATTTCCTCTTAACCGCTTCAATGTTCGTATGGTGTTTTAGATTGGTCAACAAAATTCCTTATGTAGGACCGTCGAAACATTCAGTAAGGACGTATGTTGTCTCCGAAATATGCATACACGACCGAAGTTCAATTATCACACTGCGTTATTCAGACCCAACACTGTTTTTATGCTTCAATGTCCGGGTGACCGGTAACTTGATATCGGACGCTAACGGTGTTGTAGGTGTGATGACCGAGCGCTCGCGCTTCGTTGTTTGCGCTGTGGCGTATTGTGACAAAATAGCAACAGAACATCTCGTTTTTCATGTTATAGACAGTACTGTTTAGTCGATTTCCTCTTTTTCATCTGTTAACAAAATCTTTCAAGAAGTTCAAGATGGTATCACCATTACAACAACTACTACTACTACTACTACTACTACTACTACTACTACTACTACTATTACGTGCGTCGGTTACATATTTACCATAAATATTGAGAACAACTTTTTTATTTCTTCCGAAGTGTACAAAACATATAAACTTGTTAGTTAGTCAGTCAGTCGGTTGGTTGGTCGACAAACAGAGCCGAATTATCAACAAGAGAAAAAATATCTCCGTGGATCACAATCATAGAAAATCACTTACGATGTTTTAACTTCTGACCGTACACCACCTTGCCATCAAATGCATCGGCCGGGATGGACAGATTTGAGTCGACTGTGTCAATAGTGATGCCCAAATGCTCCTCGATATCCCCCAGTAGATTGGGTTCATTGTACCAGATGCAACAACCACCCTGTTCGACCAGTCTGGTATTGAAACAACCACGACCCCGTGTGGCACAGTTCGAGTGATACCAAACCTGGCAAACAACATCGATAAGACCACGTATGAACATTGCATGGGAAACACGCAGAGCACACATCAATAAAAACGGAGCACTGGATAGCGTTTCACGTCAGACAGATTATACAGAAAAGCTGGACTGATTGTGCTGCAAATTTGGAGTAACACGTTTCAGGTAGATTTTCCCGTTTGATATAGAGGAACAGTAGTGTTATTTACTACGGTATCACGTCATCTCATACAAAATTCTACAACATAAATAAGAGTGGACGGGGTGGTATGAATTCGACTGATTTGGAATACATTAGGAACAATGTTTGCTAGGGTTTAGTAAGGAACACTTCAATTGCGAAGTTAATGATTGTAAAACACGGAAACTGTGCAAATTTGGTCCACGAGTCTGAGTGGTAAATGTACTCGGTGAGATCATGGGTGAGTCAATTGAACTGGTATCACGGCGGAATAGGTTTGAGATTCATCCGACAGACGGAACTCGTATATACGGGCATGAAGTGCACCAGCGTTATCATGATCCAATACCTACCGCACCTCATTCAATCTCCGGATTCCAAGCACTGCCGCTCAGATGATAGCTTTAGGTTTCTATCATTCCTGTTCGTGTACAACACTAGGTGAAAAAAATGCGATGTGAACCCCGACGGGGAAAACGCACGATCGAATCTGTACATTATTTATAGGAAGCCGCCAAATCTGACGTGAAAGAAATGGTTAATCGCGGAATTTTTGGTTTTCTCCGGGGCAATCTGAACCCTGTAAGGGTGGTGTATAGATAATCTAACTGTTGCTTCCCTTTACATGCACATGTGCATCAAAGTACTGACGATACAAATTAGGTACCCTGAATCCCGGGATAAATGACTGCACAGTAAAACGATCAAAATTCATTTCTTAGTCTCCCACTTTCAAGATCCCATGTTGCTCGAATTCATACAAGCGAACAGCTTTTGAGGAATGATCTATTGGTGATTCTCATTTCCAAATAAAGTTGAAATGAAATGTTTTCTGACGGAAGTACGGCTATTTATCTGCAACAGTTTTGGAAAATCCGAGTTTAGTATCGATTAGTCACAGGATACCATGTGGGAATGGGGGAGCGAGGAGCAATCAGAAAAGTTCGAGATTTACGGAAAAACAAACAGTGCGATCGTCATGCACCAATAGTACTCCCCCCGTCCTCCACTTCTAACAGACAGGGCTACGAAAAAATGAGATATAAAACGGATATGGGATCGCACAAAACTTATCATTTCCATGAGGTTGTCAAACAAAATGACCACAGAATAAGAACTCACTTTCTCCTTCACTGATGCAACCAAGCTGATAGCCAATCCCATACTACACAAAAAGGGAATGGACGAGACGTCCAGATGGAAGAACTGAACAATTAACCAGATCATGACCATTGCATAGATTTATGACTAAGGAGATGATCAAAACAAAAACAGATAGAGTACAAGCACGTAAATGAAGAGTCACAAGGAATCCCCGAATCTCAGTATCGCGTCACAAATAAGTCTATTTATTTGGCGAAATTATCGAACCTATTCAATGCGCAAAACTACAAAACCACGACAAGCAATCAATGTCCTACTGAAGCAGAAGTTTGATCGTGCATTCAAGCGCTCCATCATAATTCGACGTCTGACTCCATTGAGGGAGACAAATATCCGCGAACAACAAGCAGGATCTCGACTAGGTCGCAGTTGTAACGATCAAATCTTCACTCTGCGTCAAATCCTCGAGCGATGCCATACGCACCGTCGATTAACGATTGTCGTGTTCCTTGACCTAAAAGGAGCCTTCAACACAGCTGACCGCGAATACCAAATGGAATCGCTTCTTCGCAAAGGAATGCCGCAGAAGTATGTGAACATAATGAGTTCATGCAATTAGTTCCCTTTAATATTTTAATATTTAAAAAAAATAATGAGTTCACTCTACTTACCTCCGGTAGCGTAAGGGTCAACGGCGAGCTGAGTAGGTCGTTCGTAATTAGCAGCGGTGTTCGTCAGGGGTGCCGTATTTCGTCATTCTTGTTCAGTTTCGTCATAGACGAAATACTGGAGAACATACTAAGTGGTCTCAAACATGTAGGTTTTGAATGGGCAGCTGGAAAAAAGCTATGCGACTTGGAGTACGCTGACAACATCGTTTGTCTGTTCAAATCTATGGAGAATGTGCAAAAAGAACTTGACAGATCAACTGGTTCAGTAGCTCTGTTCAGCATGTGCTTTGCACCTTCAAGATGCAAAGTAATGCTACAAGACTGAGAGTTACCGAGTTCTGCTCTGAACTGAAACGGTCAGAAATTAGCTACAGTTGACTGCTTAGGTAGCTGCGTGACCAACGACGGTATCGCATCGAAGATAACCGCCCGCATTCTCAAGGCTCGATCAGCATACGCAGCACTGAAACACCTGTGGCGGCAACGTAATGTTTCATTGAAGTTGAAAAGTTGCGCATACTGCGCCACTGTACGATCGGTTTTGCTTACGGTTGTGAGACCTTGAACTTGCGGGTAGAAGAGATTCTCTGTTTAGCAGTGTTCGACAATCGACGCTTACGCAGTCTGGCCTCAGTGGGATGGAGTGAGCGGGTTAGGAACTTAGAAGTACATCGTCGGGTGTTTTCGAATACATCGAATAAGAACTCGCTATCGCATCAAACCAATCTCAGGAGGCTCTGTTAGTTAGGACACGTTTTGCGTATGTCCGACGGTTGCCTACCGTAGTGCGTTTTACTAGCAGTGGCTGTTGCAGGTTGGATGAAAGCCATGTGGAAGCCAGCAGATGACGTGGAGACGAGACATGAAAAAATGCACAGCGATTAAGTTGAGTCTTCCGGAGTGGGGTTCAAAAAACGTCGAAATCGCATGGTTGAAGACACTGATGGTTATGGCTGCGAACAGACAGCAATGGCGATCTTGCTGTGACTTCTTATCAGACCAGAATGCTTGAACTAGTATGTATGCACAGTTGGGCTGTGCATTCTGTGTGTTGACCATAGAGGTTCGCTTTCTTTTCCCGTCCCCCAAAATAGGTTCAATCCCTGTCCTTCTTAAACATTATCACTTACCTTGTATGCAATATGAGTTTGGCAGCGATCAGTGAAGTTCGCTGCGCCGTACACTGATGATGATGTACACGAAAATGCGACATGGACAGTGCGTTTACAGCCTCCACTTCAACGAATCGAAACACATCGATCGATAACGAGGAGAGCATCACATAACTGGGACTTTCTCTCTTCCGGTCGAAAGTGGAGAATACGATGCGCGTGATCGACCGGATTCCGTGAATAATGATATTCCCTCCTCTCCCCCCCCCCNGAGAGGAACGAAATTCTCGAGACGACTTTGTATAGTAAGCATACCGAGGCGATCCACTAAGTCGAATTATCTTCTTCTTCGATCCCAATCGCATTATTTATTGTTGACTAATTGGTTGGAATTTCTCAGTGCATGATTGATTTCGCGGTTCTCTCATCACTCTCTAACTCATCGGATATGCGTCATTTCTACTAATGTAACTGACACCAAAGGACGAAAAATCGATCTTAGCGTTCAGTTTGTCTAAGTGAAGTGCACGGAGACTTTCAAAATGATACGAAGTCATTGAACTGATTCTTAGAGGTTGGTTGGTCTCGAACTACGACAGGACGATGCAAATTAATATTGTAAAACCAGTTTAAGGCAATAGCTTGCTTGCAAAATATTAGGTAATTTCCGAGACGGTTGGCGCTAGGCAGCCACAAAAACAGACATCGAACAGACGAACTGAAACGAAGAGTTGATCTAGTGTAGGACTAAGATGAACAGAGAGCAGCATGAAAACAGGTTATTCAGTTCTAACTTTGCACTTTGGATATCCGTTCTCTAGAAGAGTAGCATTTTACTGATGTAGCTGGTATTCAACGCCACACACCGGACCTGTATGCGCAGTCGATTTCTTGCCTGGCTTAACCAGGTTCAGGATTTTGTGACCTTTGTCCGCCTTGTTAATTTTTTACGAGACCGGGGTTGGCAAAGAAGCTTGTTCTAAGTGCGTTACTTTTTGTTGCCCCTGCGCGTTCCTCAAATCGGTCAATCACAGGAGAGCTGAAAGCATATGCACACAGTGAGTGAGATTATGACAAAGCAGTTAGACCGAACACATCCTGTGATCATGATACTTCTTCTTGCTCTCGTGAGACTATTACGGGGGAAATGGTTGCGTTTTTCTGACGCATAAAGACCTCAAAACAGACAAGGACAAGTTGATGGCACATGAGGTGAAATTCCTTTGCTTGGGTGACTGAACGTGGGGACGGAGGGTTGGGCTTGCATCCCTGCGATTCCATTCAACCTGGCACCAGATGATATCCCAAACAGGGTAATTCACTTGCCTATGAAACAGTAAAATCCGGTGCCTCAAACAAAGACCTTGTGGTGTGAAACTCACTGAGCAGAGTATCAAATTATACAGATAGAGCTCGGGAATTGGCTCCGCCCGGATCAAAATGCCAAAATGTACTATTGATAAAAACCAACTGGTTTCACGAACGCTAGAATGGCTTACGTCATCCTGAGGCCTAGTTTTCAGTTCAGATCTTACAACCATTAACCATGCACTTTCGTGCGCCGGTTTTGATTGTTGTCTTTTGGTTGCCCATTCGGATCAAATGGCAGGAAGGACATTGGAACATCGAGAGCGAATTCAAGCGAAAGATAGCAAATAAATATAGACTGAAGTTACAAGAATACTGAGTAGATGCATGAGCGCCACTGTTTGCGACATCCAGCCACATCACTCAGTGCCTCATCGGTGACTAGAATCTGGGGGCCCCCAGCCACGGAGCTTAACGGGACCTATGTGAACTAGTCTCCTGGTTAGGGTTTTCGTATCCTCATGCCAGGTCTTAGTATAACCTCAAACGGTCTTTTTCCAAATCGCTAACAGCCTCGGCAAACATCGCTCGCCGTGACAACCTATCTGACGACATGCGTAGCACATGTTCCAACCAACGTAATCTATGGAGGTCGACCACTTGCTC